AGAACAACCCAGGACGCGAATCTGCTGACGGCGACGTAACCGCGGTGGCATTCCGGTTGGTGTCTTATAATATGATTTCAAAATACCGTCAGGTATGTTACCTTTAGGACTGGATTCAGAAAAAGCTCAAAGACTCAGAAGTGAAACAACGGCATCAATAATAAATCAATGTTTAGCTTATTACTGACAAACCTTTACTATGGTATTCGAAAACTAAACATTCGATCCTGTGGACGAAAATTGTTCTGGCTTGCTTGGAGCTAAGAAGACAAATACTCGGTTAAACTACCATCAGAACTCGGCACACACAAATTCATAGAAAAGCTTTTTAACTAAGCCTTTTCTAATTTGCTACGGGAGATGTTAAATTTCAAAACATCTTTAAACTATTTAAAAGGTGGATTGAAATGATGAAACCTTAGAACGAGGTCGCTATTTAAAAATGAAACTCAAGCCAATACCGCGTGAAAAGTCAGAGCTTTTAGCCAGGTCAACGTACTGAAGCCAATTTTACCTTTATATGGTTAGAATAAAGTTCGATTCAAAAAGGCGGAAGTTTCCTTGTAAAAAAAGGTTCTTACGAATACGGCCGAGTGGCAGCTATCTCTTACTGCGAAATTACTGGTAGCATTTCAGGTCCAGTTTCAATGTTTTCGTGCCGATTCAGAATAAACACTGTACTTCGGCAAGAGAGCTGGCAATCGTCACAACGTAGTCAGCGTAATCAAGGAATACAGAGCACTAATCATGACCTACCATAAGGCCGGGGTGGACTGTGAGCGCGTGCTGAAGCGCCTAACCTACCATGTAGTTGAAAAGTTTATAAGGAAACACATCCTTGGCTAAAACCGTCCATGATAGCACCATCTCCGATGACTGTTTCCTTTATTTTGTAATAGTATACTTAAACAAAGAGATATAACTAGTCTATAGAAGCGAGTCCCAGAAAATAATTGAAAGGAAGTAGGTGTGATCACTGAGGCAAAAATTTTGTTCGCCTGACGTTTCGAAATCTGTCGTCAATCTATCATCGGAGACAATGGCAAGCCCGTTTCTATTAGTAGGCAGCCAACCGGATGGATCCGCTTTCTAGGGCTATTTAAAAAGGGTGCCATTAGCAGGACAAGGACAGTAGAAAAACGTTACATTGCTTATTACGTTATGTTATATTTTTATATGATTCAATAGGATCATGCATGTGTTCGCTTGTCAAACTGTCCATGAGAGGAAAGGGGGACAGACAAAATGAAACACACAAGAATAATTCGAAGAATATGTGAGATTAGAACAACCGTAGCTACGGACATGACATCTTCAGCCAAATTATGGGACTAACTGAGAATCTCCTCCTAGCTTTTCGCCCTCGAAGCAACTGCGATTCAAGATATTTGCGCAGAGACGACGAGCAATGCAATTCTGAGAAGAATTCTCGAGACTTCGAAGGCAATATAGCTACCTGCTACGATGAGCAACTGGGTCAATAGTAAATTCAGCCTTCACAATGAATGTTCTGAATGTACAACAGACTTAATTCTGTCGCGAACCCCTCAAGCAAGTATGTGAGAAAAATTTGGCTAGACTAGCTCTGGAAGTAAGCAGTTCGTGATTTTCTGTCTCCGAAGCAATGTCCGAAGTGATGCCGCTATGATCCCTCAAAATAAATAACAGTTTTACGAAGCCACTTATGATTGTGAGCGATTATTTTTTAACTGCTTGTTGAGCATCTGGGACAGATTTAGAAGTGGGTTTTGTAAACAGTAAACGTATGTAGGTAGTATAAAGCGTGTGTGGACCCAGAATTCGCAAGTATTGAATCAAAAGCTTAATCCAATATTATCTCAGGTGGGAATTACAACATCACAGGGGTAGATAGGAGGACAGGACACAATTCCTGATAGGAGTTCTATAGATTAAATGAGTATTTGTTGAAATAGCAAGGAGTCATAGATAGGCCATGTTTGTTATGAAGTGTCAATGGTCAAAGAAGCCATTTCATGTTTATGCAATGTTAATCGCGGGCATTACTGACTTTAACAAACTGAACGGAAAGCAGTATCGGGAGAGTGCCACAAGTTCCATACTATCGACGCCGTTTGGAAACTGGGAATAATCTAACGTACGTTTTAGACCAGGTTAACAACGCATGAATTCATGTG